CCCACCTGACTTCAGCAGAGAAAGCCCACGCTATGGGGAAGCACACAGCTTGGACCAGCTCGTGATTTCCCAGAAATCACAGCTGAGACTGTAAAAATCTCATTTTGCAAACTCAGTCACTAGTTTCCAACGCAACATCCTGCCATGTGGTCTGCAAGGTGTGTTAAGACTTTTTTCCATCCCTAATCCTTTTCATGAGACAAGTCAGTTGAGTACATCTCAAACTGGCAGGTTGAAGCGATTCTGAAAGTGAAATCAAAGGTTAGAGCTGGTGTGGGTGCGGGGAGGCTCTGCCAGCTGCGACGGCGGAGCGCTGTCCCCCCTGCGGAGGAGGTTGTGCATGGCTGGCTGTGCAACCTCTCCACTGCCGGCCTCGTCCCCAGGCAGGAGACAGCTTTCGCCTGTAATCAGAATTTGAAGGGGGCTTTCAATAGAAGATTTTGTAATTCGAAAGGTTTACGTTTCAGTGGCACTTACACAGCAGAAAACTTAGTGGAGGCAAGATCCCCAAGAGGCAGCAGCACACTGGTCTGAAACACACTGTTTATTAACTTCAGAAAGAGCTACAGTGGTATTCAAGCCCATCCAATTAAGGAGGCCTGCAGGAATATTTGCACACCTAAATCTCTTGGTTTCTGAAAGGGTTAAAGCTTATTATTAGCATATAATTTACAGGTCCTTTCTCCCAGGAAAGAAATAATGCACAGTAAATGCCACATTCATTTTAATAATACATGTTACAGTCTGTGCCCAACATCTGCACAAAGGTAAAGCAGACAGATTTTTTTGACATGTCCCACTCTGCCATCCAAACACAGGCTTTTTGTTTCTTAAGTGACGGAAGGTTTAATCAAGAAAGCAGGCAATTCATCAATCGAAACAAGGCTGCTCACACCGCCCTGACAGCACACACATGGTTTGATACAGAAGAAACCTGGCCACCTGTCAGCAGCACCTTTTACATCAGGATATACAAATACACTGAGTGATCAATCCTCCAGCTCTTCCCATTCATTTTTTCGTTTTCTTATTATATTTTTCTTTATGCTAGATGTTGCGCTCATTCTCTGCAGGGATAGATGGGAGACAAGGCAAGCTATGGCTGTTTATACACTATCATAAAAATTTATATACCCTTAGAGTGACTTATTTTCCCTTCTATTTGAGTACCATTATTATAAATAATTTTTCACTTCATTCAGGAATTTTCCCTGTATGTTATTATCTGTGGTTGCCTGAGAGGGCTCCCTCTCTCCCTCACTGTCCTTGTGGCTCTGATAAGCCAAAGCAATATGCAGCCAGAAGATGCTGAAGTCTGAAATGAAGGCAGTATGTAGTCACAACAACATCTTAATTAAGCTGAAGGCCATGAAGAAAGACTATGCTGTGAAATACTGAGCAGTGTCTGTCGACAGGTCTGTCTGGAGCAAGGCATTCTTCTTCTAGCAGCTGCCCATTCGAACATGCATATTAAACCTGTCAGCTCCTCAGCACCGTGCTCCCAGCAGCACCCAGAGACCTTTTGCAGATCAGCTTAGAAGTAATTCTGCCTTTTGGTCTTGGGTGCATGGCACGGGGTGGCACCAGGGAGCCTGCCGGGCACGGAGGATGATGCCAACAGTGCAAGTGTAAGTGCAGACAGCAGTGCTGTGCTGCAGTGGCACGTGGCAGGCTCCCTGCGTGGGGCTGCGAGGTCCGGGCAATAGTTTCCTATATGCACCCTGTCAAAGACTGATTTGTTAGTTTACTGTGCTAAGAGGAGTCTCCCTAACTTTCTGGTCACCAATGTTTCATTGCCAAGACTGGAAATAACAAAAGGCTGGTTAAAAACTGTAATTACTACTTTCAGGACCATTTTCTCCTCGATTCCAGCTTTGTGATAATAATTACATTACACGCCCAAAGGAGTAACAGGACAGTTCCAGTGGTGATCTGGCAATTTCTGCCAAAATGTATTTTGAGATACAGAATAGGCTCCAACAGCCAAAATTAATTTCACCTTCCATAAATAGGCTGAACCCCAGATAGAAGTGTCGTTTTCATTGACTACCAAGAAAATCTTGGGTGTCTACAGATGAATAACCGAGACCATGCTGCAACTCTTAATTTCACCCTCCTTTACAGCCCTCCCTTCCTAAATAGCCCATCCTGTCACCACCACAAGAATTCACACTGAGGCGATACCAAAATTGGAAGATAAGAGACCGTTCGTAACTGCTTTTGTTTCCCTGCGCCAGCACCAGGAAACCTTCCATTTTGCTGAGAGCCAAGAGAGGGAGCCCGCAGGCTCGTCCACGTGCGCGGCCGCCCAGGCGGGACCAGAGAGGAGTCCCGCACCCGCCAGAGCCCCAGTCACCTCACCCGCCACACCGGCCACCACGACCCGCACATCTTCCACGCACCCACACCTCCCCTGGCGCCGCGGGCCCCGCAGCACGCTGCAGCCAGGACCCCACCGCGGCAAACCACATCCCGGCAGAGCAATTAGGGACGACAGTGGAAGCTCGTTAATAAATTTTCCGTTGCCATGGCACTGCAGTGAGGTGCTCGCGTTGCAGCGCAGATAAAACAGACTGGCTGCAAACTACGCCGACGTAACAGGAAACTTCGGAATGGTTTCCACAGCGCGGTCTGGGGGCTAATCTACCTCGGCAATGTTTAAGCACGCAAAGGGAATTGTCACAGCACCTCATCACAGCTGCTGAAAAGGCAGCAGTGGTCAGGAGTTATGCATGAAGATCCCTGCCAATGCACAGGATGTTTCATATGACAAGACCCTTTCTTCAGAAACGATTCACAGCTGCAATAGCCATTACAGCACATGTATGCACAACAACTTGTATAACAATGTGTCTGGAGGAGAACGGGCAGTTGGGGGGGGGGGGGGGGGGGGGGGGATCTATGCGCTAGAGTTATATACTTTGACTGAAATGTGCTCATGCAAACGTGGAGGACTAATGCCATGCCCAGTTTTGCAGGCCTGTTTTGTGCTTTGCCTATAATTATCTGGTAAAGTATTCAGGTTCTTTGCAAAACAGGTCATCTTCCCAGGTTGCCCTGCAAGCAGGGGCAGCCCACAGGAAGTCCCAGACCAGGGTCGTTCTCAGTAACATTCATGCAGAGCTGCTGCCTCGCTGTTGGCACATTTGATGCTTTCTCAGGAGAGAAAGCACAGCTTTCCGTCCTCCATGCAGGACTGTCTCATATGAACACAAGAACAAGCCTTCCCTTACATTTCTAAACCTATTAGGGCAGGAGAGTAACAAGAAAAACGAGTACTGACAAGAATTATGCAATTGTTATATTCCATCTATTTAGGAACCTGAAGCTGCAGTTTCAGTCAGAGATTACCTTTTAAATAACCCTTTGATTATGGTACATGAATTAATGCCATGTTCCCATGTTAGAAGTGTCACTCACTATTAATAGCAAGAACCTGTGAATGGCACATTTTTGCCATCTTTTCTTCCCTGATTATGCACAAGCACTACCTATTGTACAGCCCACTGAATCCACTGCTGCTTTTTCTGGGTTTCCAAACTGTCCTGAAAATCTTCTTCAGCCAGATGAAGGGACTGTACTTTCATTAGGTTTTGACAGAGTCAGGTTTAAAGCTAGTATTTTTCTCCTCTTGCAAAAAATGACGTAACAAAGAGAAAATTGTGGCTAAGTGTGATTCTACCATGCCTATCACAGTATTTGTTCAGTTGTAATGCTACTTAAAAAAAAATAATTCTAAGGAAAACTCTCTTGCACCCCAGCACGACTCAGCTGAAGCACAGAATATGAGCTAGCCCCATAAGAGGCAGATGAAACGCACTGCTGTGCCACAGCTGTGCCTATCACTTTTCTTCAGTTTGCAGAACCAAAAGTCCTTTTGCTGTGGTTCATGAATAGCTTCCAGACCACACAGCTCTTGGCACATCCAGGAGTGACAGACTCCATGAGGTACAACTCTGTAAAGCATCCCTACCTCTCACTCCCAGAGGCATTTCTTCCTGGGTCTCGAAAACCAGGCTACATTCCTTTTTAGCTCACTTCTCCTTCAAGAAAGCAAGCACTTAAAGGCAGGACCTTCTCCAGAGGAGCAGAGCTGGCAGGGACGGCTCACAGGGACCCCAGCTCAAATCGAACCCACTGTGTGGTCCTGAAGCACAGTAACAAGTACCTGTACCTGCATGGGTGAAGGAACAGGCTTGATCCTTATCACCACTCTATTTGAATACATGTTTTTTTCCCTGCAGACTAGTACTAGTTAAAAACAAAAACCAGCTAAATTATTCATTAGCAGGTTTTTCCCACACTGACACCTGGAAACTATCACTAGCTCTAGCACTTGTATACTAGCCTGGAATGGTGAACAGAGAGAAAGCGGCAGCTAGAGAGACCAAGCGTGCATGTGCAAGCGCATGCTTCTTAAAAATAATACAGACACACACACCCCCCATATCCTAACATCTTATTTCAAATTTTCCCTAATACTGGGGAAACAAATCTATGCAGTGCCAGTATTCAGAATATAGAAGTGGGAAAGAGTAAAAATCTTTTCTGTTTTTAATGTGTATGTTGAGTGTAGCAAAGAACAGTGTGTATGAAACTCATCCTTGCTAGGCAGGATAAAGCTTCCTGGGCAGAGATGTCATCTCTTATGACTCACCTGTGAAGATCATGCAAAAGATGACGAGCAAAGTTTGTGTCAGTGTTGCTTTCCATCAGAGCTCTCATCTAGTACCCCTGCAGGCAGCAGCATCCCTCCCCGAGGGCTGCCATCTCCCCAGTGATCAGTAACGACTGCTGCCAGTTACATGTGTGCCTGGGCATTTTCTGGGGTCTCTCTGCACCCCTTCTGCTCTCAACACTTAAAATGGCACTGAGGAAAAGCTGGACGTATGTTTCATGGGTACCACACACCTGGCTGTTTGTGCAAGCAGGGCTGCTTTGTTTGGTTATACTTCTGATTACACAGAAGAGCAGAGAAACCATTGCGTGTGCCAGCTTACCTGATATGGCATACAAATTTGAGTGCTGGTGCTCCAAGTCCAGGCGAGTGCTGTGACTTTTCCCTCGAAAGCTGGCAGGGAGTGTCAGTGAGATATGCCTAAGGAAGAGAGATGGGAAACGGAGATGACGTTACTACAGAGCAGAAGATACTGCTGCCATCAGCTCGCTCTTGCCTGACGATTCCAGTCAGGTTAAGCAGCAAACATCAATTTTAACATTGCTTATAAAAGCCAGAGTGGGCCCCAAATACCAGGAAGAGACCGAGGTAGTGATTCAGCCATTACAAACAAGGGTGATTCAGCTGCTTTACCTGCTCCTCAGTCCAGCTGTGAGCAAGACCATCTACACCCTGGTGCAAGCCCTCTCCACCCCACTGAACACTGGACTCAGCCAGCAACCAAAGCGCTACAGAGGTGGCCATCCACCCTCCAGCAGGACACGGCAGCTCCTTGCGAGCTGGCACCCGGGGACAGCCTGCACAGTGGCTGGCAAGTACGATCCCCCCTCTGCAAATACAAGCCTCAACATAAGGCATCGAGAGTGCACCCGAACACCCTGTGGGACTCAAACACGTTTCCTTCAAGGCAGAAAGTGCTAACAGCAAGTGCTTTGGATTTATCTGTGCCAAAAAATTCCATGTACATTCATAAATAAGATCTTTGAAACTCTCTTGATGACTAAGGACTGCTCCAAACCTACCCAGAGCCTGCTGCATGTTCCCATGCTCCCTGAGGCAAGGGGTGATGCACACACTGAGCTCCCCTACACCAGCCCCTCAGAAAAGGGAAGCCAAATTTCACTCGTCACCTCTCTAGCTGCAGCAGTGCACGACGCCCGCCCTCCCTCCCTCCCAATAATGCTCTGCCCAGCATTCCTGCAGCAGAGAGATATTTTTACATCTTACATTAAACCTTCCTATAAATAGGAAAAAACAGAGCTCATGGAAGCGAAGTTGAAACTATTTTCAGCGCTCAGAGCTTATTAAAAGGAAAACCCAGCACACGGCAAGCCTGGACACAGGCTAGAAGATGAGGTGGGCAACCTTCCCAGGAACACGCGCTGTAGGAGGGTGGGATGTGACACCCAGCAAGCCCCGCTCTCGTCAGTCCCTAGGGCCAGAGAGGGGGCTGCACACAAAGCTGCTGGAGCCCAGAGCTGCTGTGCACCAGCCTCTGGCACTGCGGATGGACCCGACAGCCCTTCGGGCAGGGTGCAAACAGCCAGTGCCAGCTCCCCCTGCCCAGCGGGACACAGCCCAGGAAAGCTGTGCAGGCATGGGAGCGCTGGGGCTTGGGAGAGCCTGAGCAAGGCTGCTCACCACGGCGGACATGGCTCTGCCTCTGCCGTCACACTGCCCTCACCGTCTGGCCAGCGTGGCCGCCCGGCCAGGCATGAAACTTCACTGAGAAGTCTGCCGTGAGAAAAGACTTTTTGCTAGTAACCGTTATTGACAGCCTGCAGATTTCTATGCTTTGATGAGAGATTCGGGCTTTTCCCTTTTAATTCAAATCTGTATTTTTCTAATACTGATCCCAGATCCGTGTGAATTTTTATAAAATGTTATCATTAATCTTCTGGACCCCACTGCCATACGTAATGAAGATGCTCCCGCTTCATAGAGAGGCTTAAGGTAGCATCAGAGCAGAGGCAGCAGCTACCATTTCACAGGAGTGAGAGCTACTGGACATGGCAAGGCCCTTGGCATCGCCCTCCTGCCAGAAAAACCAGGCAGCCTTTGTGTCCTCTCACAAACGCCCTATCTGCGAGAAAGGGCCCTGTGTATTCTCCAGCAGAGCATCAAATCCATGTTCTTAGCTAGCAGGTTTTATCTATCGAGGAAATCATCTGGAAATTATCTGCCTTTAAAAACAGGACACATTTTGTGAAGAACTATATATTTTTAGATTTTGATGCAGCTGATGGTGAACAGCACGGATAAAATAAGAAAAAGCAAACATCAGTTTGAGTTTGCTTCTGCTTCCCAAAGCTACTTCTAACCAGAAAAAGATGGTGTGAAAATATTTTCAAGTTTGGCTAACAGTTTGCTGTTTAAAACACAATCCATATGAGACTCTTTGCGAGCAGAGGCAGGTTTGTCATGAACACACTTTAAAACAGAAGACGACTGCCTGCAGGCATTACACGCTTTTCATTTGTTTTTTTTAATAGCAGTATCCAAAAATACTTTCCAAGGCACCAAAACAGCTAACAGAAAGACTTTTGAATTTCTCCTGCTTGAACACGGGACCATTTTCTTCATCCCAAACAAAACAGCAGGAATTGTTTTGGAAGTAAAAAAGCAGATCTTAAAAAGCCCATTTCTGAACAGAGTATTTTAAAAGTTTCCACCAGCTTCTGCTGCAGGAGAGGCTGACCCTCTTCCACCTGGACAGTCCTTTTCCACAACCCACCACCAAGCCGGCCGGACCGCCGCAGGCTGCGAGGGAGGTGACGAGCATCCCTTTGGCCAGAGGGCCGAGGAGACAGTCCCACAGGCGGCTCGTGATGGGCACTGTGTAAGCACCACGAAGGAGCTGTCACGCAGCAGCCTTCCAGTAAAGCTCTGAATCCTTAGTTCGCAAAAAACTTTCTGAACCAAGTACCCAGTCGCCGCAAGTGTGCCAGGCAAGCACCAGGTTTCACAAGCGCCATATGCTGAAGCGGTGCGCACGTTCCACGCGTGTAATTAAAATGAATCACTTGCCGTCCAAGGGACTGTGACCACACACGCACAAATACGGCAGCAGAAGATGACGTATCCAGACCTCGCTGCCTAACTCCACAGGGTATCCCGTTTGCTCTCCATTTCAGACATATCAACGTTAAGACACACCGAGGTATTCCCTCGCAGCAGGGGGAATTACAAATGCTATGTGTGGGGATGCACCGGGTGACCTGCTCTCAGCGGGCTGGCACTCCTGCAACCGCTCGTGGGGCTTGTGAGCCGAAAGTGCCAGTTCAGCCGCTGCCGACACCGGCCTGCCAGCAGCGGGGGGCTTGAATGCAGGCTGTTACAAGGGCGTTTGGAAACGACGGCCCACACCCCCCCCTCCATGGCCACTTTCCATCTCTGAGGTAGGATGAACGGGCATTTCATCACTCCCACCGAGCTGCACTGAGGAGAGCCAGGTCTCTCCAAGGAGAACATTTAGCTGCAAGACCACAAGACGGAGGGCAGTAACTGCTAGAAGGAGATCAGCTCTCCCCTTCCCCCTTCCCTTTTTCAAAAGCATGACATTGTAGGGAAAAATGGGAAACAAAGTCTAATTTATTTTAAATTAATGCAAACTTTGGCCAGGATCAATATAACTTATACCTACTAAGTTGATTGCATAATGCATTTTCCTTATGCGTTGTGAAAGCCAAATCATTTTGCATTGTTTTGTAAAAAACAAAAAAAAAAAAAAAGAGGCTGCCATTGAAAAGCAAGAAAATCCCAATTACAAAGTCCCCAAGTTCCTAAACACAAATCGTGAAAGTATGTGCAGCTCTGCAGCATATGGCAAATCAATTACTAGTTTAAATTTTAAAACAAAAACATGGTAAATGTGTTGCAGAAATAATCAAGAACAACGGTTTGGTTTAGATTACAGCGGCCACTAGAGTTTTGAATACAATTAATCATCATTCCAGGCAATGGGAAGCCATATTGACACTTATTCCTAATTTGAATATTTAATTAGGGTGAAGTTCTTCATCAAATTATCACAGAACTGGGAGGAAAGCCTAAAAGATTTAAACAATTACTACTTTAACCCTTCACCAACTGCTCATCTGTGAGCACAAGAATCTTTTTCCCCATTCTGCAAAGCAAGAACATGCTCAGGCAATACGAAAAGACAGTATTTAAAAGACACTATAAATACCCTGGGACGCTACACCGACATTTGGCATCCTGCAGGGCTCCTTCGGAGATGCCAGACTGACACAGGCTTCTGACTACCTACGCTCCTCGACCTTTATCAGAGCAAAGCTTTCAGGCCAGATCTCTATTTTAGCATCAAGTATGGTTCCTACTAGGGCTTTTGTGTTTTGTTTTGTATTCTGTTGGGGGGTTTTTTGTTTGTTTTGTTGTTTTTTGTTGTGGGTTTGTTTTTTGGTTTTGTTTTGTTTTGCTTTTTGCTGGGGGTTTTTTTGTTTGTTTTTTTTTTTTTTTTTTTTTTTTTTTTTTTTTTTTTTTTTTTTTTTTTTAACTGAAGAGCCTGTCCAGAATCATCCACCAGGTTCATGTGCCGAGGGACAAAACCCTCTTCTGAGGGATACCGAAGGGGCCACCCACCAGCTGACCTGGCGCAGCCGTGCGGTCCTGCCCGCCCTGGGAGGTTTCCCAGCCCCTGTCCTGCACCAGGAGCTCACAGGACGGGGCCAGCCCCCAGCACTGCTCTGGACCCACTGCACCTCCCGCCACACCATGGGCATCCTCCCTCCACACAGCTCTGCCTCACATCGCTCAAACATCCCTTTATGTGCTGTATTAATCCATATAAGAAAATCTCTTTTAATGAGGAGTGATATAGTTATGAACTCTCTAGAGCCATAATTAGAGCAAACTAATTGAAGTTGTGTTTTGACACACTTTCCAAATTCACGGATACTGCATGACATATTCACAACACTACTGCTGCACAGCCATGGCGACAGCAAAATCATTAGGCTAATAACGCTTATTTGCATTCTTGTCATGCCAGCAGCATGCCGTTAAATACTGCTTCAACCAGTGCTCGTTTACTCTGAAAGTTTCCACTGAAAGATATTAACAGTAATTATTAGTACTTTAGTGGAATCTCTGATGTTAAGGAATGGCAACTCACATTAACTATCCCCATGCCAATTATTTTCCTTTTGAACTGTCACAAAAAGTAGCTTTCTTCTTCCCTGCCAAACGAAAGCAATGAGGTGGATTTGGTGCTGCCGGGAAGGAGGGAAGGACGGACAGACGCCTGCCCTAGTGAGGCCAGCCGTCAGGGCTCCAGCCCACTCTCTCCAACACTGAAGTCAAAACCACACTGTTCCAGCGCGGGTTAAACACAAAAAATATTTTTCCCCAGCATATGATAATTTCCAGGCAATTTAGGACGAAACAACTGCAACAGCACA